TCTATTCTGCCTCACTACCTGAGTGAGGAGCTTTCATTTCCTCTATAGCACACGCTATGCCCACACATCCACGCACAAACATAGGCACTGCTTGCACAGAACACAGACAGAAAACCAGCCCCCAAGTGGATAGCTTTGTCTTAAATCAGGGAATTTCACCTGTTCTTGGAAGCATCCAGCAAAGGCCACACCTGGCAGAAGAGAGGGGAAAACCCTCACATGGCTGACAGCAAGGACGGGCAGCGGGGAGCTAAATCCCCCTCCTTTGGCAAGAGCGAGCTGTTGGACTAACTCAGGGACACGTGGGACCTCAGCCTAAACGGGTGGGAGTCTGGTTTACCAGGTTATGCCTTGTTTAACCAGACAGCACCGTCTCCAGTAAAACCTGCATCCCGCAGCCCAGGTTACAGATCGCGTAACTGCATTTTCATTTCCAAATAATTCCCAGCTTTCTCTTCCAAATACGTAATGTAAGAATCTAAGATTTTAGACTGAAAATAAATTGTGACTGTTAATACAGTTCATGAATAATAAATTAAGTCATGCTTGAATTTACTTAAAGCTCAAGCACACTAGGTCATTTTTCACATAAATAAAGCACTCAAAGAGTTCTAGCAGAAGGAACTACTTGGATTCATAATAGAACTGTGCTTTATTTGTTACAGCTGTTCCTTTATGATACCTGATCCCAGACATAAATTCCTTTGTTTTGGAAATGGCGGTTCACATACTGAGCCTGAAGCGCGTATTATCAGGGCAGATATAATTAATTTTAGCAGCGTAATGAACTGTATGGTTGCCTGGGAAATCAAATCCTTCAAATGGTGGCAAGGCTGAGTCATTCCCTTTGGTAATAAAATGATGATATGCTGTAACTTAACGTGGATTAAAAACTGTACAATACTATCCAGGCTACCACAAAAGGAAGTTAATAAAAGCTGAGGGTGAACTCTAAGAGGTTGTTGGCTCTCTTGACTTGTATTAGGTGTGCCATAAATCAACATTTTAAAACCAAACACTATTGGTTATATTAGAGGTGAACTGCAAGAGCTTTTTTCTTTTTTTTTTTGTACTATGGACTCACAACTCTTTTTCTTCTTTATGATGTGCACAGAAACCTCATAGGTGAATATATCTTTCTAACTTCCCCCCCATTACATATTTGTAAAATAAATAATACATTGAAAAGATAAATCTACAGTGTCTGGAAATGTGAAATCAAACCACATCACCCTCAGCGCACAGGTATTCCAACAGTTGTAACACCTTAACGAGCGTATACCTATTTCACGGTGCAGAATTTCTTGTATTTCTTTCTCTCTGATACTATACTTAATACTTGAGAAAGCAACCCAGCACAGATGTAAGTCCACTCTGGATCTCCTTACTCAGAGAAGCAGAGACAGTGCAGAATGGGGACCTGGGGACACAGCTCCGGTGGTGCATTGTTCTGTGTTCTGTTCTGTGCAAGCACCAACAGAAAATTACACAAGCAGTATAGGAACACTATAATAATATAGCACCAAATATGTAGTCGCCGGCAATGTAGTCGCCAAGCCCCTCTCCATGATATTTGAAAAGTCATGGCAGTCAGGTGAAGTCCCTGGTGATTGGAAAAAGGGAAACATTGTACCCATTTTCAAAAAGGGCAGAAAGGAAGACCCTGGGAACTACCGACCTGTCAGCCTCACCTCTGTGCCCGGGAAGATCATGGAACAGATCCTCTTAGAAGCTATGCTAAGGCACATGGAGGCCAGGGAGATAATTCGAGATAGCCAGCATGGCTTCACCAAGGGCAAGTCCTGCCTGACGAACCTAGTGGCTTTCTATGATGGTGTGACAGCATCAGTAGACATGGGAAAACCAGCAGACGTCATCTATCTGGACTTCAGCAAAGCCTTTGACACAGTCCCCCACAACATCCTGCTCTCTAAATTGAAGAGCTATGGATTTGACGGGTGGACGGTTCGGTGGATAAGGAACTGGCTGGATGGTCGCGTCCAGAGGGTAGTGGTCAATGGCTCGATGTCCGGATGGAGACCGGTGACGAGTGGTGTCCCTCAGGGGTCCGTACTGGGACCAGTGCTGTTTAATGTTTTCAATGACTTAGACAGCGAGATCGAGTGCACCCTCAGCAAGTTTG